AAACTGCTCGCAGAACCTCCTCCAGCATCTACTGTGCCTCTGGGGTCAGTGTCAGAGGTGACTTTAAATCAGAGTCCCCCTTTAATAGACCAAACAAGGGAGACAGTTGTGTCGTGGTCAGTCCCATATAGGGACACAACCATGTAAAAGTCCATTAATATCTGGACATCATTCATGCAGTGTCTGCACTGAATGCAAAAAAAAAAAATAATTGTATTCGTCCCAAAATTTGTCCCAATTGTTCGTCCCAAAATTATTTTTGACCCTCAAATAATTTCAGGGAGGTTGTAGAGACGAGCAGCAGGAAACTGCTCGCAAACTCCAGAGAGGGCTATAGCCCCATATCATCGGCAAATGTCAGCAAATTTTCACAAGCCTTATGGCAAAATCTCCATTGATATCTCTGTGTGGGCTCAGCATTAATGATAGCTGGCACCAGAAAGGGATGCAAAGGAATCTTAAAAAACAATCCTTCAGATCCACGATGAGGACTAGCCAATCAGCAGGAAGCATGGCAGGTGAAGGCATGCTAGCCTGCAACATCCCCATGCTTTCCATCATAGCATGAACTTTCTGGAGGTCTTGCAATAACCTCCGTTTCCCAGACTTCTTCTTGATACAGTATTGGAGATGCAAAAACGCTCATTCGCGGTGAGAGACTTCTCCAGGGTCAAGCTGTTCAAGTATAAGCGACTTATTATAAGAGTAAAAGGAGGGGAGACCCGTGTCCGCCACCAGCCTTGGCGTCCACGTGGTCCGGGGGAGGGGAGAGAGACCAGGTAGAGCAGGGGAGGTGAGGTTGGAAGGGAGAGGGAGGGAGTAAGAGAGCAACAGAGGGAAAGAGCAGGGAAGGCGAGAGGGGTAGGAACAGAGAGAGGGGGCTGAGAGTTAAGAGGGGGGAGAGGGGAGAGGGGTAAAGGGAGGAGGGAAGAGAGAAGAGGCAGGAGGTAAGAGGTAAGAGTAAAGAGTAAAGAGAGCGAAGTTCTTGTTACAATCCAATATATCTTTTTCTATCGTGAATATTCTAATTCTTAGTAACCAATCACCATGAGACACACCCACTAAAGAATTTACATACAACCTATGGGCTTCCCTATATTAACATACAGTGTTGTATTTTATACTCTACAGAGCTTTACAAGTTCTTTCCTTGCTTCTTTACTTTCGGACTCTTCTTATCAGCAGAAGGACATTGTTTTATCAACAGGGATTCTCCTCTAGCTGGCTAGGCTATTGTTCTTTGGTTAACCAGTACTCAGTATCCTATAACTCAAAGCAGGCTTTCATTTCTACTTTGATTCTAGCCTTCATATTTTCACAATCTAGTGCCAAACAATCACATTCATAATGTTTCCCTGTTTCACCTTCCCCAACAATACAGAAAACAGGAATGTCCCAGGGACTGGTTGAAGCTCCAGATCACCATGATCCAACTGTTCCTCCATCAAGACACCGAGGGTGACTAGTCCATCATGAGAAAGGACAACAGAATCTGCTGAACAAAGAATCAGTCTCAAGTTCTTCTTTGTGCTGAATGTGTCAGCATTGGGTCCAAGGGTTACTCCGGGGCCCACCAGCAAACCTGACAATCGTGATGTCCATGCCAGTGTCAAAAAACCCACGGAAGCTAATCTCTGACAGCATCTCACCAAGGATGGACAGGGTGCAGACCCGTTCAGGATNTTTATAGTCTATTCTTCAAGTCTCCCAGATTTACCTGTTCAATAAATCTCTGAAGAATTTGTGCTCTCTTTTTCTTTCTACATATACTCTAAGACATTTATTGTTCACGGTATGATGATATATAGAACAGAGAGCTGAATTTAAATTATTTGATTATGGTCTGCATACTAATACATCTATGAAGCATTTTATTACCTCTCTATGAAAGAAACTATTTATTAAATAAGTGCACAAAAATTTAGATGGAAAATAAAATGTTCCGTTTCAATGCTAATACAAAATAAAAATTGGTTTCTTGTCTGTTTGCCTCACTCACATTATATATAGATTAATTACTCTTCCTTACTAATCTTCCCTTTGACTTTTATTTTCTTCTGGGTTTAAGCATCTGGACTCTTTATTCATTATTTTGTAGCTATTGAAAATGTCTGTATTCCTATCACAATAGTGGTTTGAATCATATTGGAGAAGACATTTCTGGTAGAGCCTGGAAATTTGATCATTCCCTCTCTTTGATGCAGAAGGAGGAAATAATTTGAAGACTTATTCACAGTTTTAAATGACACCAACAAGTGACAGATGCATTCAATATATTGGTAAAATTGGAGATTACAGTTATTCTTTTAGGAAAGCCACAATCTCAAATGTAAAGTGCAGCTCATGTTTGATTTAAATCTGTTAGCAATGTTGGTTTTCTTTGGTGTTTTGGTTTCCTGAAACTATCACCATGTCTCTTCCGTTTGCAACTTCAACCTATTTTTGCCCATTGTTCTTTCTTCTAACCTTCTGACTTGTTGAGGTTAGAATACATAGCTTCATCTTGTAAAGCAAAATTATTGCTTTTAGATATTGAGAGACCACCAGCTATTCATGAGTCATGAGAAGTAAAAGTGAACACCGTTTATTTCTATCTTTAGCACACCTTTTATAGGGTTTGCCAGGGTCTGTGGGCTTAGCAAGTTACTATTGGCTAGTGCACACAGGTTTACATTTTTTCTCTTATACACAAGGATATTTTTTTGCTTTAATCTCTCTTCTGCAGGAAGGTTTCCAGGACTTTAGACTTTAATATCATGACTTACTCCAAAGGCTGGTTTGTGCAGACAGGCCTTTACTAATATATAAAATATTATCTACATTTAGATCTTTAAGTGCTGTAGAAAGCTACGGCTTACAAAGAGCTTTTTTTTATATTATCCACTACAGGTATAATAGGTTTACAGCAAGAACTCACTCCTTTTAATCAAAATCAAAAGAGAAAATCATCTTGTTTCAGAGACATAAAAATATACTTTCTATTGGGAAATGTCTATCAGCATAAAGTATATTGAAAACAACCATAAAATAATACAAAGCCATAAATATAATGGAAAACCCTTATGAAACTGAGGTTTCTCATGATGTTCATGGCTTTGTAACTGGCAAATATGTTGTGCTTCTGCTTTCTTGCCAGGATTAGGATCTGAATTGGAAAACAGATTAACGAGGCAAAGAGGGTGGAGAAAAAGAACAGGAATTATACCTGCCTACCCAGATAAGATTTGGTTTCGTGAATACTGTCCTACTGAATTAACTCACAAATAGATAAACTTTGGATTTTGAGTCAGCAGACTTGATTTCAGGCAGAAAAAACCCAATTGTTTCTAATTCTAAAATTTCTTCTGTGACTGAATATCTCTGTAATTTGGACACATATTCAGGACTTGAGGAATGCTATATACCACACCAATTTCCTTGTCCGTTTTCCTCTTTAAAACAAAGACAGGATTGTTGCCACGGAAGATGAATAGATCACACGGACACAGGTCGAGGTGTGGTGAAAAGAAGAGAAAGTTTATTTTTCCTCACAGGATTTATAGGCTTCTGACCACGGCCAGGGATTGGATGGTCAGGATAACACTTTCCCAACTGCACTGTCCATGAAAGATGCCCATCACAAGACGTGTAACAGAAAGAATGTACACATATCTATGTTTACAGTTACTGTCCTGCCAAAGTCTCTAGAAAACCATGTTAGCAAGCTCAGAAGCTGAGTTTTCTGGGCAACATCTCACCCTTTTTGGTTTAACAAAAAGAAAAGGAAAAAGAAAAATGAACAAAGAAACTAGCAACATTATAAACAACCAAAAGGATAAATAATAGAACAATACAATACTTCATACAATCAGAAGGCTGTAATTTCAGGGTGATATCTCACCCTTTATTTATTACAAAAAAAACCCAAACCAAAAAACCAACAAAAACCCCCAAAAATAAATGAAACAAATGTCCAACATCAACACCTGCTTATGTATGGCTCCCAATTTGGTCATGGAGGCAGAATCCATGGCCAAATTGAAAGGTGCCCGGGAAAACTTCTGAAATGCTATGACAGCAGCCTGTATTTCCATCAATTGGGCTGATCCAGCCTCATGACTCTTTAAAACCTGCCATGCAGATCCATCCTTCCAGGTAGCAATGACATTTCAAGGGATTGAACCATTCATCATTTCATTGGCCAATGATACCTGCAGGATGCAAATCTGGAGTAACAATGAACACAGCGACATCAATAGAAAGATTAATGTAATAAATTTGAGGAGCAGAAACTGCTCGCAGAACCTCCTCCAGCATCTACTGTGCCTCTGGGGTCAGTGTCAGAGGTGACTTTAAATCAGAGTCCCCCTTTGACTTTAAATCAGAGTCCCCCTTTTATAGACCAAACAAAGGAGACAGTTGTGTCATGGTCAGTCCCATATAGGGACACAACCATGTAAAAGTCCATTAATATCTGGACATCATTCATGCAGTGTCTGCACTGAATGCAAAAAAAATAATTTCACCTCCACATGTGGGACTGTTTGTCTCAAAATTATTTTGACCCTCAAATAATTTCAGGGAGGTTGTAGAGACGAGCAGCAGGAAACTGCTTGCAAACTCCAGAGAGGGCTATAGCCCCATATCATCGGCAAATGCCAGCAAATTTTCACAAGCCTTATGGCAAAATCTCCATTGATATCTCTGTGTGGGCTCAGCACAGAGATAGGCAAGTTTCAGTCTGTCATTGGGATGCAAAGGAATTGTAAAGAAACAATCTTTCAGATCCACAGTGAGGAGTGGCCAATCAGCAGGAAGCATGGCAGGTGAAGGCATGCTAGCCTGCAACATCCCCATGCTTTCCATCATAGCATGAACTTTCTGGAGGTCTTGCAATAACCTCCGTTTCCCAGACTTCTTCTTGATACAGAAAACAGGAATGTCCCAGGGACTGGCTGAAGCTCCAGATCACC